TAGAATCCCTCCCCGGACCGTTCGGGGTTGAGCCCGCCCGGTATGTTGAAGGGATTGGGACCTTGCATGGAACCGATCGGCCTGGATTAACTTCACCAGGCTTCTGCACCATGGCTCTGGCTCATCACATAGGAACCAATTTGCGACGCGCTAATCCTCCAGTAGGCAACAATGACTGTGATGAGATTCATAGAAGTTGCCGCTGGTAATCCCAGCGGGCCGAATAATCCTCCAACAATGGCCAGACTTCAATTTATGTTGCCTATTGTGAAACCCTGAGTCACCAGTTTGGACCGATTGGGGCGTCACGCTTCAGTGACCGGGTGGCTTCTGGCTTCGTACCGATTGGGGTGAAAGAAATTAGCATACCGGACCCGGTACCCGAACGGTCTGTTATCTGATGGCTCGCCTTAATTGTGTTTGTGTGTCTGTATGTGCATATTTAAAAGTGTTTTTGTCATTTATATCAAGTATGGAATTGTCAGTTATGCTGTTCATTGTAACTCATGAATCTAACAAATGATGACACTGCTGTAAATCCCAACACAGATCCTGACTTAAACTTTGAAACCCCTGATATATGCTTTGATTATTATGATCAAGATAAATTCTTAAATGATTTTAATGGAAACACTAGTGTCCAACTGTTACATGTTTATTAATAATGCGCGATGTTTACAAAAGAACATATCAAATTTTATTGATTTGACTAATCTCTTAGAAAACAGGTTCTCAGTTTTTGGTATATCTGAATCATGGTTAAAGGATAATAAGGATCCACTTATTCAAATTGAAGATAACTCAATTGAAGGTTCCTGTAGACTTAACAGAAGGGAAGGTGGGGTAGCACTCTACATTACTTATAACACTCGAAACGATCTGTCTATTAATAATTCTGAAATAGAATCACCTTTCATTGAGCTTGGTAATGTATCAATTGCAGTTGTGTATAAACCGCCGAGTGCTTCATGTGATAATTTCTCAGAGCATATTAATGACATTTTTAGAAATATTAGCAATGAAAACAAAAAGTGTTTTATAATGGGTGATTTCAATATTAACTTATTGCAGTGTGACACAAACAATGCAGTACATAACTTTATTGACATACATAACCATACTGCTGGTGTTTTAGTAACTGATCACTTACCAGTATTTTTCATTATTGAAAGTTTCAGAGAGAAGGTACAAGATGAACAAAGATATAATAGAAAACGTGATTTTTATAGTAACGATATTGAACATTTTGTAAATGAATTAAGTACAACTGATTGGTCATTTATTACATCAATGAACGATATTCATGATATGTATAACTCATTTTTAAATCATGTTCTCGAAATTTATGATAAACATTTTCCACTCCGAGAGGTACAGTTCTATATAACAAACATAAGTCACCTTGCTTTCAGACGGTATCTATAATTCAATAAGAAAAAAAAAACTATCTCTATAAAAAATATCTAAAAAATCGTACTTCTCAAAATAAATCTATTATACTCTGTGTAAAAAAAAGTTAAATCACTTAATCAAAATATCCAAGAAAAGCTATTTTAGCAAAATAAAATAACCAGGAAAAGGGTAATATCAAAGGAACTTGGATAAGGGTAAGCGAAAAGATAACCCCTTTCATTTTGTTCAAGATGGTGTAACGATTGACAGTAACAAAGAAATTGCTGATGCATTTAATGAGTATTTTGTTAACGTTGGCTCTAGACTTGCAAGTAATCTACCATAACGTAATGCCACATTTGAATCTTTTCTTCGTGATCGACAGGTCAACTCTCTTTTTTTTTAAAACCTATTACGCAAGAAGAAATTGTAGACATTCTTAACAACATTCCTAATGGAAAGGCCCCTGGTTTTGATGGCCTAAGTGCTTTTGTTATCAGACAGGCTTAGTATGTCTTAGCAAAGCCACTTGCTTGTATCTTTAATGAGTCTGTGGTTACAGGTGTTTTCCCAAATGGTCAAAAGATAGGAAAGGTCACACCAATATATAAGAGTGGCGACAAACATAATATTGGTAATGATAGACCTAAAACAGTATTATCTACATTCTCAAAACGTTTTTGAAAAAAATAATATACTACCGTCTTATAACTTTTATAAATAAACATAACCTTTTGTCCGAATCGCAATTCGGATTCAGGGAAAAGCGATCAACTGAACTAGCAACGTCGTATGTTGTTCATAAGTTGCTCAAAGCCATAGATGATGGTACATTTTTATTGGTATTTTTTGGACCTTTCCAAGGCTTTTGATACAGTTAATCGTGAAATCTTAATTTGTAAACTGGAAAAGTATGGTATTCGTGGTGTATAGCCTTAAACTGTTACTTATCTGAACAAAAAGAATTTGTTTCTTATAACTCTGTAAATTCAAACCAGCAATCTATCCACTGTGGTGTTCCCCAGGGCTCTACATTAGGTCCTCTACTATTTATTCTGTATATTTACGATATATCTTATACATCTGACATCATATCATTCTGCTTGTTTGCGGATAACACAAGTTTGGTGTAATATTGAACTTAAAAAAATTAGTCACTTGGCTTTTAGCAAACGAAATGTGTATAAATCTGTTAAAAACTAACTATATGATATTTTCTTCAAGACAACAAAAGTAAACCCAATCTGTTCCACTTGTTTTAAATAATATAATTTAAATCGTGTCACGATTATCAAATTTCTTGTTGTGTCAATGGATTAACATCTTACATGGAAAAACACATAAGTGATATCTAGAGCAAGATATCCAAAACGTTGGTATAATGAATCGTTTAAAGTTGTTTATTCCAAGCAACATTTTAGTTATGCTTTATAATTCTTTAGTTCTCCTATTTTTAAACTTTTCAGTTCTAAACTGGGGTAGTTCTTCGGCAAATTTTGACAAACTTTTGTTGTTACAAAAGCGAGCTGTTCGCATCATTTCTAATGCTGGCCACCGTGATCATACTGCTAGCTTATTTGCAAATCTAAAACTGTTACGAATTAAAGACATTTACTACTTAAATTTAGGTAAATTTATGTACATGAATAATGCATTACCTGCTTGTTTTAGCTCATATAGGCATATTTTTACATATTTTATAGGCATTTTCAAACATACATTCACACAATACTGGAAGTGCTTCCAGAAAAAATATCCATGTTTGTTACAGTCGAACGTCCTTGTTTAAAAACAGTCTTATTCAACGTGGTGTAAATTACTGGAACAGTGTTAGTGAATCTTTGAAAAAGTCACCATCACAGACTATATTTGTCGAAAAGCTAAAAAAACCTTCTTGATGCATATTTATAACTGTAATGTTTAATTTATCTCGTAATGTTATGTCTTAGTACCTCTATGCACACTCATTTGCTGTTGTAGTCCTTTGTCCTGTCTGTCCCATTGTCTGTCCCTAGGTTAGGCTACAAAAGCATTCTTGCCTCACCCAAACCTAAATGGTGTCCTTTGCGTAATAATTTGATATTAAACTTAACCTGTAATATTGTACGTGATGCAACACATCTGAACTAAAATTTGTCTTGACATTTTCAACAGAAACTCAATATTGGCTATGTTAGCAATACACCAGTTACTACGCAATGCTAATAATCTGAATTAAAACAATTATTAAATATGTATCCGTGTATCAAATAAATGAAATAATTATCCAAAAAGCAAGATTATCTTAAGTCAATTGAATATCGAATATGAGCATTTATACAGCACTCGGTGCTTACTATATTGTCAGATCTCCTAACTTTACGACTTTTAAAATAAGTTTTTCGCAGGAATTTACCAACTGTTTCTGGTGTTTTGTTTTACCTATTATGTCAAGTTGTTTTTGAACATTTACTAGGCAACCATTGAGCAGCTTCCCATACCTTGCATATAAAGAACTTCTTATAAAAAAAAGCAAATTTCTCTCAGCACCTTCGACATAAGACTGTCCTTTCACCCAAAAAATGTAAAATTTTAAGGTAAACAAGATATCGTTTTAATAAAATTTCATATTTATTTTGCAGAAGAATGCATATGTGCACGTGCCATCTTTCCACTAAGAATATAACTCCTTTACAGGTATTCCAAATATATAATGTCAATCATGTAATGCTGGAAAAACCTGTGTACAATACGTTAAATACAATAACATTGCTATTATTGTTTGTTCCTTCTAGTTTTATAGCGATACCGACAGTCGTTAATTTCCTAATAACTTCACCCCTTTTTATATCAATGCTTTGTGCAGCTTGCAGGAATCTCTGCAGAAATTTCCAAATCAGCAAGTTATCATTTGCAATTAAACATGTATGGCTTATTATTTTTTTACCGTTTTTTACAGGAATGTACTTTTCGAAGTTTAGATAACGTATAGGACCACGTTTTAAAATGTTGCAATTTGCCTCGTTAAGCATGGTTATATTATACAATCCTGAAAAATCACTGTGTATTAGATTAAATGGTGCAAGTATTACTATAACATGTAGGCATATGCATATCTCTTTTTAAACGATCTGACAGGCATAATATTTTTCGGAAAATCCGAATGTAACTTAAGGAATACAAATATTTAGTATCTGTGAACGTGTCGTTCAGTGATGGTAAACAACAGTAATACCTCAGATTAAAATACCAATGTCCATAAAAATGGCTTGTGGCATTGGTTTAAGACACTTAAAAAGACGGATGTTTTAGCTATTAGTTTAGCTTGCCACCTTCTATACATTGTAAACGATTTCATTCCAATACATGGAGAGAAAAAGCTAGAAAGGTCAAATCTTTTTTTCGTAGGAATGAAAGTGAGCAAGGAGCGTGTCCTATAGATCCATCTTGATAAGTAAAGATTTTAATATATTGGCAACTTGAAACACACTTTTTTTCTTCAAACCATTTTCTTTTCGTATATTTCTTTATCGGGGAATTTGCAGGGCACTTATCTAATGACAAATTTATTGACATAATCCAAGGGATTATGGGCGGCGGTCGCATGGCTCCCGCTGGTTTCTCCGTCACTACACGGGCCCGTCAGCACCAAAGGCGGTCTCCTGCTGCATCGGGACCAGATAGCTGTCGTCTGTGACACCAGGTTCTTCGCGATGTTTGATGGGTCGCTTACCAACCACACCCACACTAGGAGCTGCTACGTAGTCGCGGTCTCCCTCCAACAGTTCTTCCAGCTCGTTGGCAACTTGGACAAAGGTGCAACGTGACTTGGGGTTGTCCTGCCAGCAACGTACCATTATGCCGTAGCTGTATCAGTCAGCAAATGTAACAAGAATCATTAGATGCTGCTTGCTTGATCGTATATCAAATTGTGTTTGCAGTTTTACTTGAAACCCCCGACAATACACTTACCATTATTACTGATTACTCGAGCACATTAACCCTACATTTTTGAGAGAAATGTTCGAGAATTGAGTTTCCCTTTTTTTTTCATTTGAAACCCGACACAAATCACTCTTCACTGTTTCTCACAACTAGAGAGTGTTATACCTACTTTCAATTATGTAAAACCTTTGAGAGTAAAAAAGATGCATTAAGATCCCTTCACCTTCAGAAAAATTTGAGTAAAATATAAAAAAGAATCATGCATACTTTTACAGAAGTTAAAATGGCATTAGATGTGTTATTATTAAAAGGTAATGGTGACCGGTGTTTGACCATACATTTCTGGCGGGCAGTTCTTGGGAGCATCCATGCGTTGACCTCTCTTCAAGAAATCATACACATCTTGGTTGGGAATCCCTGGATACGGTTTTGCACCCTTACTGAAAATCTCCCATAGGAGCACACCGTATGACCACTGTAGAAAACCAAAGAAGACAAATATTTTTCCATGTAAGAGACCATTCTAATGATGCCTGTTCAATTGAGCTACCGAACAGTTGACATGAGCAAGCTGGAAAGGGTAGCTAAGATTAACGAAGATTGACCAAACTGCATTGTATTTGAGTCTTTATTGAACTGTTTAATGAGATCTTGTGTCAAATTGAAATAAACACGTTTATTAATAAGTTAACTTAGAAATCAGTTCGAGGTGGGCGTCTTAAGACGAAATACTCCAGCTAATGAGGGTCAGGCGCCTTGAAAACATACCCAATGTAAATTATCAATAAACTGACGTTTCATGACCGGACAACGAAGTTCATGTAGTTTCTCTTCGAAGGATAGTTCCACAGAACGCAAAGAAATGTGTTTTGCTTTCTTTTTCGTTAAGATCTTTATCTAAACACCATCTAACATTCCAATCAAAGATGGATTTAATTGCGTACCACGTCAGTCCTGGCGTTGTACACTCGACGTTCCATGGACTCGGGAGCCATCCATTTGATAGGCAGCTTAGCCTGGGCATCGCCGCTTGTGTAGTAATCCGATTCGTGCATGTCACGGGATAGTCCAAAATCCGCTATCTTCACCAGAAGATCACTATTCACCCTAAAGAGGTTATTAAAAGTTGATCTTACTTTTGGGTCACATCATTTAAGAATTGCAATACCATTAATTCGAACTCTGGAGTTAATTCTATTAATGCCTGTCCCTTGGTATCTCTGGTGCATTAAAATTATTTTCGATGAAACGGCTGACCGATTTCTCGTTACATTCATTTTGCTTTTACTCAAACACACGTATAAAGACATGTGTAACAGCCCCGGATGATATAGAAGAGAGGATACACTTACATGCAATTTCTGGCAGCAAGATCTCTGTGGACAAACTTGTGCTGAGCCAAGTAACTCATACCGAGTGCGGCATGTGAGGCAAACCTCATCAGCAGAGATGTCGCCAAGGTTTAAATTGAAAGTAAAAACCTCCAATGAATAAGTAAAAAACCACACTCAGAACAAAACACATGACATACTGTTTACGAAATGGGACAGCATTTTGTTTAAAAAATCTCGTGAGTGAACTATTAATTATCAAACGTAACAACATCTACCAAAATCACCATTAAGTGAGTTCCAAACTCATGCCACTCATCACCAATTCTTTTATCAAACCTTCCTCTATTTATTATCGACATTGATCGCTCTTGACTACACACCTGTTTTTTCTTGACCAGATATGTCTTGAGGTCACCGTTGGCCATGAAGGGTATCACCACCAAGGGGTTTTTGACCGCGTCAAAGGTCAACCCTAGAAGCCCCAGTACGTTGACATGGTCGAAGGTTTTCATGATCAGGCCTTCCTCCAGGAACTTCACCACATTTTTCGGGTCCGAGGTGTCTACATGCAAAAATAAGGCATTTACATGTGTTAACTGGCACGCCCAACTTCCATTTGGCCAAGCCACTACACAAAAACAGGAACTTGTATTTCAACTTATTTTCATCGCCAGAGAAATGCAATAACCCAGAGACACATTCAATTCAGTTCAAGAACATTTTACAAGCCAAAATTCGCAATTCTGAATGAAGACTCTTTCGGCTCTTTCATTCAAGATGCACATCGATTAATGTTTTTTCGTTCCTCTTTCTCGGTATAAGGTCATCCAACACCTCTTCTGTAACTCTAATTAGCAACAAGTATAATCAAGACCAAAATGCATACCATTCTGAAATGGGCCCTTTTTAAACATAGGAACAACTTTTCAATGCTTTGTTTTGAATCCATGATACTGTCATAGAAATCATCTCTCACAAATGGCCGACATTCTCATCACCAACCTTGCACTGTCTTTACGGCCACAATTTGATCTTCCCCTGACGTATCGTGTAGAACAGCTTTCAGTACTCGCCCAAATGCACCTGTAAAATTTATTCAAGTGTTTTATACTCATCTTTGCTGATTATCTTTTGCTGGTACTGATCACTAGCCAGCTGGCAGACCAACCGACCTACCGACTTACTAACAGACCCAGCGACTGGCCGAGTCTAAATAATTTACTAAAGGTCAAAACGTTAAAATGTGTTTCAATCACGCCAATAACAGTTTGCACACACAGCCCCTTTATGTAGGCCTCTCCTTCTCAGGTAAAATAACAGCTTACACTTTGAACTCATGAAATGTTCATTGTTTCCTCGTACAAAGTCTCTACCTTGTCCGAGAGTCTCTCCCAATTCCAGTTGGCTGAAGTCGATATGAATGTCGTCGGGAACGAAGCTGACCTTGTTGTTCAGGATAATGCGCTTTTGTTTTGGCTGAGCAGATTCCGACTGTTTCTGGGATCTATACCACCTGCGTCTTTTGACGTGGGAGTCAATTTCTGAGGAAAAGAGATACAATGTCGCATTCACATTAAATAACGTGATATAGTGGTACGTTTACGAGCACGTTCAGGCCTACAAACAACAGACAAAACAATCTTTGCATGCTACACAAGATTCACAAGTTGTCTAAAATGGCAAACACAATCTTGACAAAAGAGTTCTATATTTATTTTTGTTTTTGTAGAGAAATGTGTTTCATCCTGTCTACAACTTGACAATTTACATTCAAATGAGGAGCACGCCATTTGAATTCTTTTGCCATGTATTTTACCATCCAAACCGGCTGCCCGTTAGCAGCCATCTTGAGAGTTTTTTTTAGAAGTAGAACATAATCTAATACGGAGATGTGCAGCTACGCACTGTTTTAATTTTTTTCTAAACTATCATAATTATGTTTGAAAATTAGGAATTGATAAGTAGCCGGTAGACACAAGTGATGAAGGATAATTGGCTTTGAAATTTGAAAGGGTTTCGTGTTGTTTACCATTTCGCCGTCTTGCGATCGAGTGATTTTTAACTTACAAGAGCATACTCATATAGACTGAGATGATACTCTCTCTTCACCGCAGTTTTGTGCACCTGTTTCTAGCACTTAGGAATTAAATATTCGAGTAAACTGAAGTCATCTCTTGCCACCAGCACTTACCGAGATGAATCGCCACTATCCTGCCCAATAGTCTTCGGTCGTGGGTGCGCTTCCTTCGCAATTGTTTGCAATACACGAAGGTAGCAGCGAGCAGTATCGCCATGGAGAGTGGAACTACCAAACTCGGTACAAGTATAGCGACAAGTGGCACCGTACTGGGATAGACCAAATAGCCCAACCTAAATTTTAAGTTATTGTGGCGAACCTATGGAATAACACGAATGAAATAATAAACGATCCAACATAGACTTGAATAAACGATTCAACATAACTGACATAGACTTAACCAATTTGTTAATGTCGACGGTATAATAATCACTTTTTGATTATTGTAAGTAGTGTTATTACGTTTTTGGGAGAAGTGGCCGAATGTTGGGTGTTTTTGAACCTTTCGGATTGAGTTTTACAGATGTTCAATCAATCTGAGGAACAATGTTTAAACCTAGCTTAATAATATTCAATCCTAGAAGAGCCGCTTTTCTTGGTCATTTTACAGCCAGAGGGGTCTTCTCTTCAGATTTCGGGAGTGTAATGACCGAATATTATGAAATTCTTTGACCGAAGAAATAATGATTCCAATTTTTTAATTGGTTTGCTATTCATAATGTCGAAACAATTGAACAAAAACTGAGAAAGAACTTCATATTTACAAGGTTGTAATGAAAATTTTGTTGAAAAGCTTAAGAAAAACTTCATTTCTTTGAGATGTTTTTAAGGATAATATCAAATTAGCACAATAAAAAAATACCCGCAAGTCTGTAAGGGCGTACAGTGGCAGATCTATACGGGGAGGGTAAGGGGATAAACCTCCCCCTCGGGGCCGCACAAGAAGGAAAAATCTTGAAAGAAAAGAACAATTGACAGCTACCCCCCCCCCCAATTCAAAAATGGATCCGCCCCTCACTTACCCATACCACAGGCAGACCTTTTCCGGTATCTCCTCCCATGTAGTCACCGGCTGCTGGTGCCTCATCGGGCAATTCACATACGAGTGCTGAATCAGTGATCAGGCTAACGGGACAGCTCTCTATGCCGATCTTCACAATGATTTCTTCCTCTGTGATGGCGCTGTCAATCCGCTTGCCCTGTCAAAGCATCCACAGGTAATTTAAGTTCAATTGTTTTAAAGGGAATTTATTTGTATCTGCATTGGTATATTTTGGAAGAGTTTAGTCTTTTCGGTTGTGACAATTAATGCTCAACACTTTTATTTATTTCTAAATACGAAGGTCATATGGTTGTATCACACGTAAGAATTTCTGTCGTTTTTCATGTACATGTACTTCTACACACCGTGTGAGGACTGAGGTAAAAAAAACCTTAACTTTTATTTCACATCACATTTACATTTGCGCTTGCAATGACTGATCTGAGCTTATGAAGTTTTGTAACTCAGCAATTAAGAGTTACCAAGATAGGCCTACTGTATTTTGGGAAGATCCACTTGATTCAGGAGGAAGAGATATCAACTTGAATGTATCTTTAGTCACATATGAGAGGTGTTTCACTTTACAAAGCGCTGTATAAGTGTGCTTCGTGCACGTTTACCGACAGGCCCTATATCTTTATACAGATAGAAAAAGCAATAAAAGGATAGGCGCATAGAATAAGACACGCGTATACCAACCGTGATTGTCAAGGTTTCTCCTTCTTTGTCCTTCATACCACCTTTAAATTTGTTATACACTGGATCCTCAAAGTACTCCAAGTCGGCATCGTTATCCTCAGACCATGTCAACAGTTGAGTGACCCCATCCATGATGAAGCCAAAGGTCAAGTTTTCATTGCTTATGTCGAGGTCTGTTATGTTCGGAGATGGGCACCGCATCTCTGTTGCAGATTCACCTTGACATTCCTGCAAAATAAAGACCCACATCAGTCAGTAGACAATTCAGTTCACAATTGTACCTCTCTTTGTTTTTACTTCAAAACAGAAATGTGTTTAATGATGTAATGGCTGTCATTCTCTACATAGTACCCTTATTGCAATGTCCACATTTAAAGTGGTCGTTTGCGGTAACTCAGCAAAATAGAAGTTTTAAATGTTTCCTAATTATATATGTTGGAAGAGTGGAGCAAGTAGATATAATAAGGGAGGTTGAGCAAGGATAGAGCAGATATAAAATCATTTATACAGATAATAAGTATAACACATTTCTCACCTCATTTGCATTAGTGACAACGATTTGACGGTTTCTACTTGTGTTTAGAAAAGTGCCAGTAACCGTCAACATTCGACCACCCCTGACAATTAAAATACCGATAGCAAATATTGAAAATATATTCTATACACTGAAAGATATGGGCTGGTGTAACATCACTCTAAACAATTTAGAAATGCACGAACATGTTCACTTTCAGATATTTGAGCAAATGACATTTGGAAGTTAAGAATAAAGCATAATAGTTCACCGTTCACTCAGTTAACAGTTGTCTTCAGTATTAAGAAGATTTGTATTAGTCTGCTTCTGAAAACAGCCATGCATAAACTTGGCTGCAAGCTTGCTACTTGACAGCGTATCGCGTATCTAACAACAGAAACATAACATTTCACTAATACCAGGACCATTTTGTTGTTTGTGTATATACCAAAAAGACTATACCAAAAAGCTATATTTAAAACACAGACATTTTTACAGGACAATAGAGGCTGTAATAAAAACTAGGTAGAAATAATGTGGTCGATACAAATTGAAGTATATACCAAAAACACTATATACCAAAAAAGCTATACAAACTAGCCCATCATGTTAAAACAGATGAAGACAAAAAAAATCATGCAGACTCACGAAACGATACTTTTCAGAGGAGACACCTCAGTAATGGTGGGATTCTCAGTGTACGTGTACATATCTGATGAGGTTCTCATGGCCCCATCGAAGGAGACTTTCACACCACCTTGATATCCAACTTTGCCAGC